AAAGAAAGCAATTAGACCTTAGGAAAATTTCCTATCTAGAAATAGGGATTCTCTAAAGCCTAAAAAGAGAAAGATCTCTAGYAAGAAATACTCCTCCTCTTTATTAAAGAGGGTTAAGAAAAGAAGAGACTCTCTTAAAGAATTTAAGAAGGTAATAGAGGAAATAATTAGAAAAGAGGTTTCTAAATTTAGGAAAATAAAGAAGACTACTAAGAAAGCATTCCTTACTAAATAAGCCTAATCTAGGGAATTATCCCTAACCTTATTAAGTGCTACCTTATCCTAATTTAAGGAGGAAACTAATAAGATTATATACTCTTCTTTAGAGGCAAAAGGCAAGTTAACCTCCTTAGAATAGTTACTAGACTCCTGTGCCTTATCCTATATAACTAACTAACTATAACTCTTTAGATCTATAATTCTACTTTAAAGGAAGAAATAGATTAAGGTTAGGGGTAGATAGCTATAAGCTATATATAAAGGAAAAGCAGTTATAGGAGGCTAGAATAGGAAGAAAATCTTACTTAATAAAGTTTTGTTTATACCTAATTTAGGAGTTAATCTTATTTYTTAGAATTAGTTTAGCTATTAGTATAGTRTTTAACTACCCTAGTTTACTCTAGTRTTATAGGATAGAACTCCTATTATYTAGACTAGAATCTAGAATAGTRTTCTATTTATTTTAGAAGTTTTARAGTCCYTYTAGRAGARGGCTYTTATTTTATTARTAAAAGAAGAAAAGGAAGAAAGTAAGGAAATAGGATTTACTATAAGAGAGTTACTAAATTAGTAGGAGCTTTAGTATAGAAGATTTAGCTATTTTAGMAAGAATCTTCTTAAGAATATCTATAAAGTAATAGACTTAAAGGATCTAATCTAACTCCTARAAGACTATAAGGAAAAGTGCAGAGTCTATACTCTTATAAAGATAAAGAAATATAAAGGAAAAGTTACTAAGAGAAAACCTTAAGTACTTAAGCTTATGTCCCTAGACATTTATAGCCCTCTTCTAAAGTCTAGATTAGGATATTAATACTAGCTAGAAGTTATTAATAACTTCTTAAGGAAGAAATAGGG